GAGGCGTTTTTGGCTTATATATTGCGTACCAAAGTCGTGGGCCAAAGTTCTCCTATTTCTAATCCAAATCAGCTTCAGGGATTGATGCTAGGGTGGATGCGTCGCATCCACCTCGTCCTCCACTTCTCAGCTTCGGATGCTACGGTGGACGCTATGGGCCGACTTCACTGCTAAGGGTGCACGAAAGATGTAGTTTTTCTAGGTTGGATGCGACGCATCCAACCCTTCTTCCTCTGGCTAGACCACCTTTTCTTCATATTTTGCACTCCAAACACCTTAAATCGTCACACATAACTTAATTAGTCATAAAACCAATAATTAAACCATGTTGGGAATTTTAAAGATCAAATAACATCAAGAAGTGGTTAAAACATGGGTAAAGTAACATCAACACATATCGAAATATGCCAAACATCATCAAGACTCAAGAGCTAGTCAATAATCTTAAAAATGAAAAAGAAGTAACAAGGGTATAGTGAATATTTTAATATAGTTAAGTGGGTAAACTGTCGCAAACAATTTACTTGAGGAACCATTCCGTAATTCACGGATAAATCTTGGAATTGATGCAGCTCAAATTCGAACATAATTGTTGATGCCTGGTAGCTGATCCGGTTGTTGCAGGCCTGCAACGAGTCAATCCCGAAACGACGCAGTTTAAGTGTCCCCTGATAATAAACGACAGCGTACCGATATCAATTTTGAGATTGGACAGTGCATAAGCATCTTCTGCATCTATCAGCTGGACAAATCGAAAAAGAAAGAAAAAAAGTAAAAAAAAAAACAAAAACAAAAACAAAGAGGAACAGATAAAAAGACAACAGAAAGAGGGCTTTTGGCATCGAATCTCAGCCCTGCATCGGTTGTAATCAATTTTCTCGCTCAGCTCCTCTCCCCTCTCCCTCTGGTAAGCTTAGTTCCAATGCTGTTTCCTATTTCATGTTTCTATTGTTTGATCTGTTCAATTTCCTACTTCATCTCGCTAATTCAAACCGGATTTTTGTGGTTTCTTCTTCTTGTTTGCTTCGACTTGTAAAATCTAGCTTCTGATCTAATTTGCGTATCTCACATTTGATATGAGTTGCTCTAGCTTGTGTACTACATCAATGCATCGTTAAAAATTCACTTAGAAAGTCAGTTCTTCTTCTAAAATGTGGATTTAAGAGGGAGAAGAGGTGTGGTTGACCTCAAGGATTAGGTTGTTTGAACTGTAAAGGGGCGGTCTTTATTGGTTTCATTAGATTTACACTTTGTACATATAGAAATACAATGAAGTTTCTTGGTTGACTGAGCGAAATTTATTCTCTTGCTATGTTGCTTCCACTGCTTGTTGAACCTAAGTGTTTGCTTAGCCTTGCTCTCATATCATGGAGCCTAGACTTCGCTTTATTGTAGAATTCAGATAATTAGGCTCAGACTTCAGGAGAATGACGTAATAATTGATAGAAGGGAGGAATGATATGGGAGGTACTATGCGATAAAAAGATACTTAACTAAGTAAAAGACAAGTTCGATAGAACATTGGTGAGACCAGCAATGTTAGATGAAAGTGAATATTAGGCCTCGAAGGCTAAACATATCTAGAAAGTGAGTGTCACAACAATGCAAGATGGATGTGTAATTATGAAATATTTGACAAGATTAAAATGATCCATTTGTGAGGGTGCAAGTAGTACACATGGAGGGTGTAATAAGAGAAGATCGCCTGATATGATTTGACAATGTTCTAGTAGACCTTCATGGGAACTGGTTTATAGGTGTGATATTATGATGAAAAGCTGTGTAGGACGACCAGAACCGATGTTAAATTTGCTTAGGACAGAGCACTAGTGAAAGAAAGGGGATTCGTGTAGGTAATAAATATAGACTGGTTGGGTCTAGAGGTTACTTATGGGTGTCATTTTTACCTTAGTTACGATGTTTACCATGAGTTTCTTTGATATGCTAAAAGACTTATCGATATTGTACTTATTGATATTGCAGTCATAAGTGTGAGATTTAAAGAATCTCAAAATCTAGACAACTCCTAATAAAAGGAAAATTATTTATAAACAAAGTAGTATTGGAATGATTTAGGGCCTAATAAAGTGGAATGGCTATAGAGGATTCAACTTATGTGTCATACTATCGAACTTTTGGAAAGAGCAATGGAACATAGACTTAGGGACATTACAAGGGTGTATGAGAGCCAATTTGGATTTATGTTCGATCGGTCTTTAACATGTCCTATTTTTTCCTAAAAAGATTGATGAATATTCGTAAGGATAAGAAGGAAAAAGATCATTCTTCCTCTGCTTCACAATGATACTTTTGTTGACCTAGAACAACATACAATAAGACGGGAGCCTAAGAGCAACAGTAAAGTTGTCTTCGTGTGACCTATAGGTCACGAGTTCTAGCTGTGGAATCAGCCACTGACGCCTGCGTCAAGGTAGACTACCTATATCATACAATAAAGTAATATCAATACAATAAAGTGTCAGGAAAAGTCTGTTGCTGGGTGCGTTGATGGGTGTTGGAGAAGTTAGGAATTCTTACCAGATGTACATTCCGTAAAGGATAAGCATAAAGGAGTTGTCACAAGTGTGAGAACGATAGGAGGAGATATAGGAAGTTCTCATAACTGACTGCAATTAGTTTAAGATTGAGACATAGTTGTTGTTAACTTGTTATTGTTGTTGGTTATAGAGGATTAATGTAGCCGAACTCTAACTTTGTTGATTGCGGCATAAGTTCTTATTATTATTTCTACAACAGGTAACTTTTTTTTTCCGTTTAGTAATATTTCTGCGAATGATATTGTCATACTAGTAAAGCATGCTAGTTCAGTTTGTCCTTACTTACCTAGTTAGAGATAAGAAATATAGACTAGCTTTGGGTTGAGGAAACCTGTGTTTGCTCCTTGGTTTCTTTGCATAAAATTCAATCAACTGTCTCAATCTCAAATTAGTAGGGCTTCAATATATCAATATTCTATATCCGTTTCGTTCTACTCAAGCCTATTTCATTCCGATAATAGATGATTTTCCTTTTCAAGACAAATTAGAAATTCTCTAAATTTCAACACTTAGCCGTACACTAATAACTAACTTAAATCTCAACTATTTTCCTGGATCTTTTGTTTTCATTTCGTTCTATCCCTAGCTAAATCGCCTATAGAGTTGGGAATTAGTAGCAAGTAACATTAAATAGATAAAGCGGGAACGAAACTTAATATTACGTGTTCATGTTCTTGTTAAAAATTTGATCTGGGTTTGCTAGTTAGAGGTAGTAGGTATCCCGTGGAATTAGTCGAAGTGCGCGCAAGTTGGCCCGGATACCACGGTTATTAAAATATAGGAATTTGATCTGGGTTTGTATGTACTTCTTTACCAAGTCATAGATGGTAAAAGAAAGAACTGCTTTTTATGTGGAAACCTGTGTTTGCTTTCCTTATTTCTTGGCATAAGGAGGGACTTAATCATGAGTAATGTCAGATAGAACAGATGGAGATGAGATAAAGTTCCTGTCTCTAGGAAAGCTTGAAATCAATAATATTGGGTTTGTGACTGATGTGTCGCATTCATTTGTCTACAACTTTGGTTGCTTTGAGATCATTATATAAAGTATTTTCTCTTATATTTCCGCAGAAAGGCCAAATTCAAGATGGGTTTCTAGCATTTGCCTTTTCTCCTGAATGATATGATGGTATGATGCCATACTTTTATATTTGGATTTTGCATTTTTCTGTATCAGATGATTGTTTGGTAATGTTGACTTGTTTTCATAAGAAACAGAAAAAAATTGCAAGTACCTTTTTTGAGAAGGTTTAAATATTTCTGAGAAGGAATCTGCAAGTACCTTTGTTTAAGGATCTTTAAATATATATATATCTTACAATTGCAGTAGCTATCAGTAATTGATTTAGAAATCTTTTAGATTTCACTTACTACTGCGAATTAATGAGACCTGACTGAACCTATTCTAGATTAACAAACCAAAGAGAAAACTGGTAGAACCTACTTATGTACCATAATGCTATCGCTTAACTGGCAACTAAAATAATTTTCATGAACAGGCTACTGTATTAAACTATAATTGATCTGATTATGTATATGCTTAATGATTCTTTCTTTAATAAAGGACCACAATAACTTTACTATAAAGACTTACATGGCCATCATGGCCGAGAGGGATGCTGCCATCCGCGAACGGAATATGGCACTAGAGGAGAGAAAGAGGGCTTTTGCAGAGCGAGACATGGCAATGCTTCAGAGGGATGCAGCTCTTGCAGAGCGTAATGCTGCGATACAAGAAAGAGACGATGCCATTGCTGCTCTTCGATTAGGGGAGAGCTCTATAAATGACAACAATGTGGTTCCAGATTCACCAGGAAATGACACTGAAAGTGGTGCAAAGCACATTTATAACCAACAGCAAATGCATAAAACCATAGCTGAAGCAGCTCATGGTTCAACGGAAGATCCCACAGCTGGCTACTTGAAAGGCACGGATACTTCTGAAGCAAAGAATCCTAAAAAGGTCAGGCGACCTAAAGAGAGCAGACACAATAAGCAAGCCAAGATACCAAGGCAGGGTAAAATTGGCGCAGAAAGTTTGAATATGCAGGTCATTTCTACATCATCAGATGATTGGGTAAATCTGCAAGAGTTGGATAGTGATAAGGAGGGAGATATGCAGCTCACATCATGGAAAGATAACTTGGGTTTGAACCAAATCAATTTTGATGAGTCTGCCATGCCAGTGCCAGTTTGCTCCTGTACTGGGACTCCACAGCCATGCTACAAATGGGGTCATGGTGGGTGGCAATCAGCCTGCTGCACAACTACCATATCTATGTACCCGTTACCTCAAATATCAAACAAACGCTATTCCCGGGTGGGTGGCAGAAAGATGAGTGGTGGTGCCTTCAGTAAATTGCTTAATCGCCTTGCTGATCAAGGTTATGACCTGTCTGTTCCACTTGACCTTAAGGATCATTGGGCTAAACATGGTACAAACCGCTACAGCACATTAAAATAGCTTTTGTATGTACGTTGGATTGGGACCTCAAAACATGTAGAAGGCATTGTTGGGGAAGTGTGTTGTGGATGAAAGAAATTGTACTTTAAAACTGTGCAGGAGATATACAGCTAATAGTTATTCATTCACATTTTTTAGCTGTCTCTGTCTCAGAGTTCCAATTCATCTTATCAGAACGGCCTCATATCATGTAATTTGCTTTTATCAAAATATATTTAAATGAATATGGTGATTTGGGTGACAAATAGCTTGCTTTGCTTAGACAGCGAATACGGCAAACAAATGGCTAATACGTGTGCACGCTGGTGTATTTGTTGCATTTTGCCCGCATCGAACAATTCATTTATCGTTGCAAGTTTTCTGCTTGTTTAATCATTCTCTATGAATCTTTTCAACATATTGACTCTCCTTGAAAATGATCTTCCGCGTCAAATAGAATTTGCTTGTGGTATAGTGTTAGCAGTAGTACATGAAATTAAATGGCACTATTTTTATTGATGGAGGAAATAAGTACAAATTAATGACCTGACAGAATTTTATGCCAATTTTGTGCTCGCATTACCATTGTTACATTGAGCGTTTGCAGCTAATATAGGCCTACTATCTACAACCATAACAAACATCAGTTATTGCTTCATCTACAGAAAATCAATGTACGAACAAATAGAAAGGAGGAGCGATGAATAAAAAAGATGTAATAACTCGTGGTTTAGTGTTAGCAATGAAGTCTATCTCGCGCTAGATAGGACTTTGAAATCCTCTCTTATACCTTTTGGAGGCTTGGCCGCTTGGGTATAAATCAAGTTGAACGGTAAATAAAATATACACATCGGTAACAACGTCAGTTAATCTCTCAATTCAATAAACTCTTATCTATTTCTTTGACTACAACCTTTTGTTTTTTATTTGTGTAATCTTAAAAAAAAATGTCTCTTATAGTTATATGTGAAATTGGTGTATCTTTCTTGTATTGATTCTTGCGTGGATTGAATAATTTTCATTTCTTCACATTAAATAAAGAAAGAAAAAATTGCATATACTGCTCGTAGGAAAATAATTAAAAATTCATTTTCAGAGAAAAAAGAAAAGAGAAAGAAAAACAGATCGATAACAGCATGTGGCATCATTTTGTTACCTGCGCCAACAAGAGTGGCTAAATTGAGTATTTTGACCCATCTCAGGCTCATTTATGAACGGCCTCTCGGCATACACCTGCTTCTTAGAAAAAGACAGACGACAGGGGAAGCTTTGGCCGTTAAAAAATTCAGTTTTTCTGTTCGTCCGACGAAAAGATTTCACTCTAACTCTAGGTGTTGTTAATTGCTGCTCAACATAGGTGCTGTACCCTATCAATGGGTGCATCGGAATCAATTCTCTCCAGCTCACAGGTACTTTTTCAACTTCAACAAATTCTATGAATCTCAGTTCAAATTGTTCGCTTTTTTCCTTGTTTAATTTTAATTTTCTCGTGAGTGCAGAGGCCAATCGATGAGATCACTACAGTTTCCGAGCGTGTAGAAGGCGTTGATCCTATTTTGGAGAGGCTAAAATCTCTCAAAATTGTAAGCTCTCTTTCGCTAACTTCAGAATATTTGTTTTGGTAGCTATTAAGCCATCACTTACTGTGTGAATTTATCTAAATTCGTTGCCTGTATGAGTAGGCTGCTCCAATACTGAAATCGCCGCCGGCTGAGAGTAGCCTGACTGACATTCTGGTGAGAAAACCATCGTCCTCTTCGAATAAAGGTAATTGCCCTGTGCCTGCTAATATTTGAAACATTGTGATGCAAGCGGACTATGGTGGTGTTACTCGAACATAAAAAGTAATTTAGAGTTCCTCAAATGAACAACAAATCAAGAGAATATATCAAGCTTTTATAAAAGGAAAAAAAGGAAACAAAAAGAAAGGAAGTAGAGAGAGTCAGTTAAATTTCATCCTACAAATATTACATTAAGCATAGAGCCACACTGATTGATTCGTTTTCACCCCTGTAACGTTTCCAAGATTATGGCCTATCGCGCTCTTCCAGAGTTTCATTTTAATAACACAACAGTTCCACATCTTTGAATATCTCCCTCTATTGTCATATATCGGAACGAGCTACTCTTTGTTTTAATATAACATTGAGTAACTTGGATGGCCATATTACACCAACTTCTTCAAGGCATTTACAAAACTATGTTGTGATACCATTTGGACCACATGCCTTTTATCCTCAGATTTTTCATATCTTACTTTTCTCTAGTATACCTAATTTATGAGTTTAGTCAAGGTTTCAATTTGTCGCAACTGTAAGGTATCCTCGTAATTTGTCTTAGGCAATTGATCGAAATAACATTCTCATCTCTCTTTTTATTCTCTCTATCTCTTGTCAAAACTTGCTGAAAATTGTCTTTAATACACATAATTTGGTTCAAGTCTTACCCCTCCTCTCTTAATCGTGCTAGCTTATATAGTGCTTTCTCTTCCCGTGTCCATTACTTTTGGCAATAGTCCTCATTTCACTACTATGATTCTTTTGGTTAGGGTGCTAAGCTTTTAGACACACCTGGAAGCTTATGTGCTACTTTCTTTAGTCACTTGTGATTTTCATACATGATATCAACTTTGAAGAGTTGGATTAATATCAATGTTGTTGTATATTGGATGTTGAAATGTTTGTTTCTTATTTAAGTTTAATTATTCTAGTGCCAAATATCATATATGTATGGTATTATTTAGTTTTCCGTAAAGTTTGCCCTTCACTTCTCGCTTTTCGCTTTTCGCTTAGAACCCCCAGCACCTTTTTGCCTTTTTTGCGGTTTTCGCTCTTTAAACACGTATTTACTTAATTATTTCTTCAAGAGCCTTCATCATGATACTATGTAGTTTAATTCTTGATTATACTTGGGGGGTAAGCATGAGAGTGGCAGGTTTGACCATGCTGATGAAGTGGTTAATCACCAGATGTCTTTGGGCACCCATGACGACATCTTAAGTCACAGATTTTCTGTATATAACGTCATCAAATGAAGGGTGTCTGTAAAATTTGCAGACACAGAGCTATCTTTGAGTTAAAATAGAGAACAACATCTCCTAGAACAAGGTTGATAGTAGATGATTTATTGCCACTTTGTCTTGCTTGCTTCTCTTGTGTATATGATTTTCCCAATCTTCCCAATACTAAGTTGGTAATCAGGCTTAGATTCACCTATATTCAATTTGTTATCAAATTCAGATTTTCCCTGATTCCTATACTCCATTTAGTTCTATTGGCTGAAGCCTCATCTCTGGCAGTGTCCACAGATTTGCTGCTCCAGTTTATGATCCCTATTATTTTCATTATTGGAATCTCTGCAGATTTTGGAGATCCTGAATGAGATCATATATACATGTCTTTTCATCGAACTAGCTCCTTTTCGATGAGTCTGATTCACCTTTAAGCAAATCTGAATGACTAAACTTGTTTGTAGTATCCAAAGCTACAAAACTAATCAATTTACTTTTGTTATCTTAAGTAATCACACCCACAAGGGTGAGTATGTCTAACTTATCAAAAGAAAGTGAATGGTCCTCACCTAAAGAGATACCAAAGAAGCTTAAAATAAAATAATGTGAAACAATTCAAAAAATTTCGTCACAGCAGTGGTAGCATTTGACCAGCACTTTCTTCAATACCTGTTGCACTATACTTTTTTATTTTCAACAATTGTCATCAGGAATAATTAGAAGTTTTCTCTTATCCTGCTGGTGAGATACTGATATTCCTTTCTTTGTTCTTGTAGGCTGTGTAGATCCAAAAGTTCTACTTGAGCTCTTCTCTGTATATCGCCAGTGGCAAGAGGAGAAGGCCCAGAAGATCTGTAAAAGACAGGTTTGCTCAATTATTATCATGTGTGTCTGGTCACTTAATGCTTCAGTAGCCATTTACCGTTGTGGCAGTGGTTGCCTCCTTAAAAAAAGTGGATCTAGAACAAGTCTACGAAATGCACCTTTGTGTCAGTTTGAGTTAGACTATGTAATTACACAACAAAATCTATTCTTAGTGCAATTTCCAGTCTCAAAACATGGTCGTTTTTTGGGTCATTTCTTGTTAACCGGGGGGGAGGGGAAGTATTCCCAAAACTTTCAAATTCCGCTTTCGATCAAAAAGTCTATCAAACCTTCTCCG